ACCACGAGATCATGACCTGAGCCGAAGTCAGATGCTTAACCGACTGAGCCACCCAGGCACCCCAAAAGTAGACCACTGTCTTATACCATACATAAAGATTAGCTCAAAATGGACGGAAATCATGAGACCTGAAACCATAAATATCTAGAAGAACACACAGGCCATAAGCTCCATGACATCTGTCTTGGAGATAACTTTTTGGTTTTGACACCAAAAGCAAACACATCAAAAGCAAAAATAAACAAATGGGACTCCATCAAACGAAAAAGCTGCACAGCAAAGGAAACCATCGACAAAATGAAAAGGCAACCTACAGAACAGGAGAAAATATTTGCAAATCACATATCTGGTAAGGGGTTATGATCCAAAATATATGAAGAACTCATACAACTCAAAAGCAAAACAACGAAACAAAAACACCAAACCACCCAATTAAAAAATGGGCAGAGGAACTGAATAAATATTTTTCCAAAGAAGCCATACAACTGGCTAACAAGTACATTAAAAGGTGCTCAACATTCTAATCATCAGAGAAATGCAAATCAAAACCACAACGAGATATCCCTTTACACCTATTAGAATGACTATCATCAAAAAGACAACAGATTACAAGTGCTGGTGAAGATGTGGAGAAGAGGGAACACTTGTACCCTGTTGGCAGGAATGTAAACTGGTACAAACAGTATGGAAGGAAAACAGTACAGAGGATCTCTTAAAAAATTAAAAATAGAAATACCAAATGATCCAGCAAGCCCACTTAGGAGGATATATCCAAAGAAAATGAAAACAGGATACTGAAGAGACATCTGCATTCCCATGTTCACTGCAGCATTACTCACAATAGCCAAGATATAGAAACAACCTATAATCAAAAGATGAATAAAGAAAATGTGGTGTGAAATTGAGTCTTTTCCAGCCACCAGAAAGCAGGAAATGCTGCCATTTGCAGAAAAAAAGATGAACCTTGAAGGCATTATGCTAAGGGAAATAAACCAGAAAGAGAATGTGAAATACTTTCACATATAAATGAAATCTAAAAAGGCCAAATTCGGGGGTGCCTGGGTGGCTCAGTCGGTTAAGCATCTGACATCAGCTCAGGCCATGAACTCCCGGTTCATGAATGTGAGCCCCACGTTGGGCTCTGTGCTGACGGCTCAGAGCCTGAAGCCTGCTTCAGATACTATCTCCCCATCTCTCTCTGTTTCTCCCCCACTTGCACTGTCTTTCTCTCTCTCTCTCTCAAAAATAAATAAAGATTAAAAAAAAATTTTTTAATAAATAAAAAAATAAGGTCAAATTCATACAGAGTAAATGATGGTTATCAGTGGCTTGAGAGAGCATTGGCAGGAGAAGAGGAGTATGTCGGTCAATGGGTACAAATCTCCACTGATAAGTTCTAGGGATCCGATGTACAGCATAGTGGTTATAGTTAATACTGTATTATACATTTAAAAGTTGGTAAGAGTGAATCCTGAATGATGTCACCACAAAAAAAGAAAAGGTAGTTATGTGACATGATGGAAGTGTTAGCTAATGCTATGGTAAGTCACTTTGTAATACAGAAGTGTACCAAATCAACACACTGTACACCTTAAACTTACACAATGGTAAACACTAGTTATATCTCAATAAAGCTGAAAACAAAAAGTTTATTACCATGTATTTTTTAATGTTATTATAAATGGGATTGTTTTCTTAATCCTCCTCAGATAGTTTGTTGTTAGTGTACAGAAATTCAACCAATTGAGTGTTCATTTTGCATCTTGCAACTTTACTGAATTCGTTGATTAGTTCTAACTGCTTTTTAGGGGAATCTTCAGAATTGTTATGTATAAGATCTGTCAGGGATCATGTATAAAGACAATTTTACTTCTTTTCCTACTTGAATGCCTTTTATTTCTTTTTCTTGCTTAATTTCCCTGGCTAGAACTTCCAGTACTGTGGAGAGTGGGTATCCTTGTCTTGTTTCTGATCTTCAAGGAAAAACTGTTTTTCACCACTGAGTATGTGGGCTGTGGGTTTATCACATATGGCCTTTATTACATTGAGGTATTCCTTTTATATCCATTTTCTTGAATTTTTTTTTTATCATAAAAGGGTGCTGAATTTTGTCACATGCCTTTTCTGCATCTGTCGAGATGATCACGTGATTTTTAACCTTTGTTCTGATAATGCAGTATATCACAAGATTCATTTCAGTATGTTGAACCATCCTTACATCTCAGGGATAATAAATCCCACTTGATCATGGTGTAGGATTCTCTTAAGGTGCTGTTAAATTCAGTTTGCTAGTATTTCATTGAGGATTTTTGCATCTGTGTTCATCATGGATACTGAACTGTAGTTTTCTTTTCTTGTAGTGTCTTTGTCTGCCTTTGGTATCAGATTAATGCTGTCCTCATAAAATGAATTTGAAAATGTTCCCTTCCTCTTGCAAATTTTGAAAGAGTCTGAGGACTGGTGTTAACTCCCTTTAAATTCACCAGTGAAGTCATCTGGTCCCAGGCTTTTCTTTGTGGAAAGGTTTGTGAGAACTAATTTAATCTCCTTACTTACTTTTGGCTTGTTGAGATTTTATGTTTCTTCATGACTTAGTCTTGGGAGGTTGTACGTTTCGAGGAATTTCTTACAGGTTTTCCAATTTTTTCTTTTCTTTTCTTTTTTTTTTTTTTTTAGGTTTTCCAATTTGTTGGCATGTAATTGTTTATACAGTCTCTTACGATCCTTTTGTTTCTATCTCCTCTTTCACTTTTTTTTTTTTTTAATGTTTATTTATTTTTGAGACAAAGAGAGACAGAGCATGAACGGGGGAGGGTCAGAGAGAGGGAGACACAGAATCTGAAACAGGCTCCAGGCTCCGAGCTGTCAGCACAGAGCCCGACGCGGGCCTTGAACTCACGAGCTGTGAGATCATGACCTGAGTCGAAGTCGGACACTTAACCGACTGAGCCACCCAGGCGCCCCTCTCCTCTTTCATTTCTAATTTTATTTGAGTCTCCTCTTATTACTCTAGTTAAAAGTCTGTCAGTTTTGTCTTTTCAAAACAACTCTTAGTTTCATTTTCCTTTTCAATTTCTTTGCATTTGCTAACTTGTATGTGAAAATTAAACAACATACTCCTGAACAACTTAGGGGTCACAGAAGAAATCAAAAAGGAATTCAAATCTGGAAAGAAATAAAAATGAAAACACAACATACCAAAACTTATGGGATGCAGCAAAAGCAGTACTAACAGTAACATTTATAGTAATAAATGCCTACATTAAAAAGAAGAGGGGCGCCTGGGTGGCTCAGTCGGTTAAGCATCTGACTGACTCTTGATTTCAACTCAGGTCATGATCTCACGGTTCACAAGTTCAAGCCCCACATTGGGCTCTGTGCTGATAACACAGAGGCTGCTTGGGATTCTCTCTCCCTCTCTCTCTCTGCCCGTCTTGCTCCCCTGCTCTTGCACACTCTGTCTCAAAATAAAAATAAACTTAAAAAAATTTTTTTAAAGAAAAATTTTAAAGATTTTAAAATTTTTAAAAAAAGGAAAGAAGGTTCTCAAATAAGCAATCTTAAGTTTACAGCTCAAGGAACTAGAAAAAGAAGAACTAACTAAGGATTTCTGGTTTCTGAGAAATCTGTCCATGAATTAATATAGCCATTAATGTGTCCATTAATACTCTTTCATGTTTCTGGTTTTGTGTGTTCTATCCCCATTTTCTAGATCAGCATTATCCAAAAGAAATATGTGAACCACAAATGTAAGTTGGTAGTTACATTTTCAAACAGAAACCGATAAATTTTATTTTTTAACCAAATATATCTAAAATAGCATTTTTTCAACATATAATCAATATTTTAAAATTATTAAGATATTTTACTTTTTCTCCCTAAGTCTTTGAGCCCAGTATGTATTTTACACTTCCATCACAGCGCACCTTAGACGATCCATGTTTCACATGCTTGGTAGTCACATGTGCCTAACGGCTGCTGTTCTGTGCATGTCTAGGTGTTCTTCCCCCACCCAGCCTCCCTCATAAATACTATGTACTCACTGAACAAATGGTCAACGACACCTCATCTACACTGTCATGGGTACTCAGAGTCCTACAGACACTACATTTGTTTATTTATTCGAAAGACACAATTTATCTCCAAATACAATTCACAAGATTTCCTGCGCTGCTTTCCACTCTGTCTTCTGCTCCCTTCATCACATTACCATTCCAACAGCGCACTCCTCTCACACAAGGAGGGTCTGAGAAAGGGAAACAGGAGGCCTGTTTTAAAGTTATCTCAAAGTGTGAAAAATCTCATTTAATCTAAAACGCACCTGAAAATCTTAAGTCCCCCAACCTTGTGTACACACAGCCCTGGTAAACACCTGTATGAACTAAGACTAACCAGGAGAATAACATGTTCACATACCTACCTCACTTCAAAAGCTCACTTTGCTATTGCTGTCAAAACCACCCAAAATAACAATGGAATTCACATAACTAAATCACCATTATGATGTAACTCTATTTATTACTACTCCTGCTTCCTCCATTTATTATGCCAAACACTCTACCTTAAATGTTCTTTTTATTACAAAAGTTTTAACTAATCTATCATTTAAGGACTTAGATAGCTACCACATCAGGCTGAAAGGCAGCAGACAGAGTAAAAACAACATGTTTCAGATTCTAGTTTAGATACCATCTATGACACTTTCAGCAAACTTTGAACGAGAACATTGTGCATACGCAGTCCTTAGTTTGTGAGGATTCAAAGAGAAAATAAACTTAAAGGCACAGAACAGTATTAATTACAATCCCTTTACCTACTTCTTCCACTAAGTCTTTGAAAACCTTTCCTTTGATTCAGATACGATTTTTCGCCAAGAGACCATTTTTTAATTAATGAGGAAAGTCAGTCTTTTTAGGTCACATCTGAAACAGTTCTCGATTAAAAATAAATATTCCAGGAAAAAGTGTCAAATCAACATTAACCACATGCATTCTCATTACCTGCACAAATTTGGGTGGAAATTTCTGCCTAAGGTCCAGGAGCAAAGCATCCACACGTTGTCTCTGAAAAATAGAGCTTGGTTCCTCTTTCCTTTTGGCTTTAGGTTTGACTTTATCTATTAAAATATGAAATCCAAATCAAAACACTGCTTAATTAGTTTGGTGTCTTATATTTTACATACCTTTGTCCACCATGAATATACTCAAATTATCATTATTTTTAATGACTGCTATTCCAAAGACCATCCCCCCAAATAAATTAAACACAACATATACAAACAAGTGTTCTAACTCTCCCTCTTAAATGAAGTTAACATTTTAACATTTAAAATGCTGACTCCGGGGCGCCTGGGTGGCGCAGTCGGTTAAGCGTCCGACTTCAGCCAGGTCACGATCTCGCAGTCCGTGAGTTCGAGCCCCGCATCAGGCTCTGGGCTGATGGCTCAGAGCCTGGAGCCT